TATTTGTGGAGGCCCTAGAGCACCAGGACCAGTAGACACACCCACAAAATTATCACAATGTGGAGAGTAAACACCCCAAGGTATTTTTAAGAGGCATGGTCAGTCTTTTGAAGACTTCATTTTATTGCCACAAGTTTTTTGGAAAATGCAGAAAGAAAATTAATTTATTTTTGTTTACAAAATTGGCAAGATATTTCTCTCATGCAGCATGGGCATGCTTAGAATTACACCCCAAAACACATTACACCCAGGAACTAGAGAGCATCTACCTCGCTATTTATGTAAATTGTCCAGATGGAAAGTGATTATATATGACCATGCTGTGTGTGGGAAACAAACGTGTTAAAATTATAACTTTGTGGGCGAAAAAAAAAAAAAATATTTTTTTTAATTTTCTAAAACAAGTGTTGCAAAAAAATTAGATCTTCAAAATATTCACTATGCTACTTGATACATAATGTATCTTGGGATGTCTGCTTTCGAAAGAAGGGTCTTTTTACATTTCAGATATATACTATAGTTTGTAGACTAACATATAGAATAAATAATATATACTCTCCATTTTCACCTACTTTTTTGAGGAAAATGTTTGTATTTGATATGTTTTATAAAGGAAATAAGGGAACAAGTTTGTCTCTTTTCCTTTATATAGCAGAAAATAAAAAAAAAACAGTGGTTATGCAAGAAGAAAGAGGGTTCTATTTGTCTAAAACAAATTATAGAAAATGTATTTGGGTACAGTGTTGCATGGCTGAGTAATTGTCAAGCAAACTATAACAGCACTAAAAACTAAAAAAATAGGTAATAAAGAGGGTGTATCATACTGGTATTAGGGTGGTTATGTAGGCATAGACATGTTAGCTGTCTGTTTGTATTCTGTGTAGAGAAAAGTCTATGTAATTGAGGAATTTCATTTAAAAAAACGATTCCATTGTTCTGAAGTTAGTGTGTTGCAGAAATGATTTGTGGGTACAAAGGCTGTGGCATATGTGGCAATGTAAATAATTAGTAGGCTTATGTTTTGCGTTTTCATCTTTAAAAAATAGACTGTTTAGTGGTTGGTGATATTTTTAACATTTTATGGTGTTTATGATGTTTAAAGATTGTTTTAATAACTAACTGATATTTGAGGTTGTCAGTGAAAAATGGCTGTCAATAAATTTCTCAAGTTTTGTCAGTTAAAAAAAGTAATGGCTGGCAACCTTAGGTCTCATCATCATCTACTGGCTCTCTGTACCTCTTCCAGATGTCACCCCAGGATAAGGCACATGGGAGCTAAAAGGCTGGAGAACTTTTCCCATGGTTACCAGAAAGCCAAATGTATATTTCTTGCCAATATTAAACAATCGAAGCTGGCAGTAGACTGAAATGGAAAAGTGTAATGTAAAAAAAAAAATCAAAAACAAAATAGCTTTTGTAGCATAGCGAAGTTACTTTAACCACTTGCCCTGCAGAGGATTCACCCCCCTTCCTGACCAGGCCATTTTTTGCGATACAGCGCTGCATTACTTTAACTGACAATTGCGCGGTCATGCAATGCTGCACCCAAAGTAAATTTACGTCCTTTTTTTTGGACACGAATAGAGCTTTCTTTTGGTGGTATTTGATCGCCTCTGTTTATTTTTTGCGCTTTAAACAAAAAAAGCCAACAATTTTGAAAAAAAAAGCTATATTTTTGACTTTTTCCTATTAAACATGTCCACTAAAAAATTTTAAAATGTCAAATTTCATTCTAAATTTAGGCCAAAATGTATTCTGCTACATGTCTTTGCTAAAAAAAAAAAAATTTAAATTAACTGGTTTACCTGAAAGTTATAGCTTTTACAAATGGCAGTATATATACTGGAGTTTTTTTTTTTTTTACTAGTAAAGGTGGCGATCAGCGACTTATAGCAGGACTGTGGTGGGTATTCTGACACTGGGGGGGGGGGAACTGTCTTGGTGTTACTGACATCCCCAGTGACACCAATACAGTGATCAGTGTTAAAAAAAAAGCACTGACACTGTACTAATGGCACTGGGCAAGAAGAGGTTACCATCTGGGGCGAAGAAAAGGGTTAACTGTGTGCTGTTTTACTGTGTGCTTTACACTGTAAGCACACTGCATTAGCACTGCATTGTATGGTGGCATCTGGGGGAGGTTCTGTATGGGGCGTAAAGGGGAGTAGAACCATGGGACATGTTTTTTTGGGCAGCAAAATATATTACATATTTATTTTCCCATTTTTATTTATTTTCCGATTTTCATTAATGATTTAACATTGACAGGCATACATTAAGCTAGCGTGAATAAACTGACAAACAGTATAAACAAAGTAAATTGAAATGATTTCTTCTTTGTCTAATGACCTTTTTATTTTGTCTATCAGAGTACAAATGTAAGATCCCCAGAACCTGGCCATATGGAGTATGCATAGGCTTTGATTTACACTTACTTCTCCATCCACACTATCCAATGCGGAAAGTCTCTATTGACTAGAAAGAGGCAGAAGTTCTCAACTGGACCCTGGGAAGAAGATTAGAAGCATACTAGAACAATAGTGGGTAAATAGAAAATTAGGGATAGTAGGAGTGTGACTCACTCTTCTTTTTTGCCTGGTGTTTGATGACTTTTGGAGCACAGGTGGAAATCATTATCGGCTCCCTCTTTGCAGCCTTCTAACAACGATGCTGGCAGCACTCCTGTTGTGGTTTGTTCAAATAGCCAGCGTTGCCAGGAGACAGTCTAAGTGTGGATATACAGTATGCTGGAATAAAGAAGAGCTGGGAAGAAGCATGCAGGCGTAAATATAGAAAAGAAACTTTTTTTTTTTTTTTTAGGAAATGTCAATGTATTGAGGATTCTACATGTCACTTTATTTGATTCTGCAGACTTTTACCTTGGAAATACTCTCTCCGGATAGCCACTGACATTGAGCTAGAACAAGCATGCAAGTTGGAGTACAGTATTTTCAGATTTTACTGGTTGCATGATTTTCCAGGTCAGCAACTCACCAGGATATCAGTAGAGCATTGGAGGGTGTCAGATGAGTAGTGGACATGTCAGTAGGGCAGCGGTTGTTGTCAGTAGGACAGTGGATGGTGTCAGAGTAGCAGAGCAGTGGACGTGTCAGTAGGGCAGTGGAATTTGTCAGTAAGGCAGAGGATGGTGCCAGTAGGGCAGAGACTGGTGTCAGTAGCGCATTGGATGGTGTCAGATGAGCAGTGGACATGTCAGTAGGGCAGCGGTTGTTGTCAGTAGGACAGTGGATGGTGTCAGAGTAGCAGAGCAGTGGAAGTGTCAGTAGTGCAGTGGAATTTGTCAGTAAGGCAGAGGATGGTGCCAGTAGGGCAGAGACTAGTGTCAGTAGCACATTAGATGGTGTCAGATGACCAGTGGACGTGTCAGTAGGGCAGCGGTTGTTGTCAGTAGGACAGTGGATGGTGTCAAAGTAGCAGAGCAGTGGACGTGTCAGTAGGGCAGTTGAATTTGTCAGTAAGGCAGAGGATGGTGCCAGTAGGGCAGAGACTGGTGTCAGTAGCGCATTGGATGGTGTCAAATGAGCAGTGGACGTGTCAGTAGGGCAGCGGTTGTTGTCAGTAGGACAGTGGATGGTGTCAGAGTAGCAGAGTAGTGGTCATGTCAGTAGGGCAGTTGAATTTGTCAGTAAGGCAGAGGATGGTGCCAGTAGGGCAGAGACTGGTGTCAGTAGGGCAATGAACAGTACTATTTTTATTACTTTTTTTTAAATTCTTTTTTACAGTATTATTTTTTTATTTATTCTTACAATTTGTTTTAGGAGCCTCGTTGGGGGGGCTTTAGTGAAATACTGTATCAGGGGTATAAACAGATGTGTAATGTCTCACTTTTGAGACAGAGAAAGGGACTGACAACAGAGATTCTCCAATCACTTTCTCTGAAGCCTCAGCTGCACTGGACAGTGAATGAATTGGAAGTGCTCTGTGCTGAGTGGCTTCTTGTTCATTCACAAACTGAAGCATAGTAAACACAGGTGCATCTGCTTTTCAGCCAACACTTTTCCACCAGGCTCGTTTAGGCAGGGGGTGACAGAGCCACCCACAAAGCGAATTTCAGTGATGACAAACTGGCCAAAATTTAAATAGTGTATGGCCAGCTTTAGAGCCACCAGTCACAATGAAAGATGCTCCTAGGTTGGCAGTTCTTGTTACTAACAGTTTGATACATCAAACCTATAGTGTTGGCTGCTAGGTTTGGATTGTGCCATGTTCATAGATGGTGGGGGCTTCTGACAGTGCTCTGCGCCTACCCAGTGCCTTGTGTCCGCAATGCCCAGTGATGTGCTCAGACAGTGCCAATAAAACAGTGATACGGCTGTGTTTGCATATTGTGAGAAACACACTTTTTTCCATATTATATCAACAGTTAAACAGCAAGCTCACTTTGGCAAACCAGTAATAAAAATTGTTGTTATTGTAGCACACCCCCCTTAAGAGCAGCTAATGAATTTGGTCTTATTTGCTCCCTAGAGCACACACACAGCTAGGCACACAGCATTTCCTACACTCTTCCACTCACCCCAAAGAACAGTTTAGGGTTTATTATTGGGATTTTATTGGGGACAATGAACTTGGATAGGGATAAGCAGCATGGGATACCCTGGTAAACTGCAGAGCTGAACAACTTGAGGACTCCTCAACTTTTTCACTGCACTGTACAAAACATGGCATGTGCCACAGGATCTAAATGCTGATGGTGATCTGTACACCTTCAAGAGTTGAAAGCTACACACAGTCACTAGATCCCTGGACTTGAACTTGTGAATAGGCCCCTCCAGCTAAGCCTAACTGGGACCGCGGTGTCTTCCTAAAAACGTCTTCTAAGGTCCTGCACCAGGGACAGAGGCCCTGCACAGGGACCTCCTCCTGCATGACTAGACCCAGAAAGACTGCACCCTGCTGCTCAGGTCTCAGACTATTTATAGGCTCTCTCATCACCTACTGGGCACAGGGATTGGCTGGAGTCCCATAAATATTCAGGCTGCATTCCATGTTCTTCTACCAGGGGCAGACTGACCATTTGGAAACTCGGGCATTGCCCAAGGGCCCGGGGTCAGTAGGGGGCCCAATGAGATGCCCCTGGTACCTTTTTCATAGGCTTTTTTTGAGTTTGGGCAAGGACACAGGGGCCCCATGATCCCCTATTGCCCGGGGGCCCCATGAGTTGTCAGTCCGCCCCTGTCTTCTACCCACTATGGTTCTAGAATCCTCTAGAAGACAGGGGGAAGCCGCAGAGCAACAGCCTGTGAAACACTGAGCAGCCCTAATCAATCAACCTGATTACACTGGAACTTACTAAATGTACCTGGCAGACACCCCCCCCCCCCCCCCCCCCCCCCCCCCCCCCCCCCCCCCCCCCCCCCCCCCCCCCCCCCACTCCTCCACACTAGGAGTGCTACCTTATGTTCCCACAACAACAGAATCAGATGCTGGAATCTAGAAAATATGATTATGATGACTTTGCTGAAAAGCAGACAGTTCTTAATACTGGTACAGATACCGGAGACCCAAGGCTTGTTTATCAGCCTGACCAGTTATGTAAAGTTTCAGCTACTCATTGACTCTCATGGCTCCCCTGGACAGGAAATCCCAATGCCATGTACATACCCACTGTCACTACAAAAAGCATGGTGTGCAGGAATGATGGATGGTTACTAAAAGTAAAAAAGCCTTATAGATTCTGTATGTGGAGTATTTTACACTTCTATGTTGCCAGTGCCATTACAAATACATGAAAACAGAGATGGTACAGAACTATCATAACCCTATGGCCTGAAAGCGACAAGGACAAAGAATGTTTCTGTTATTAAAACTAACAGTTTTACTTTTACATATATGATGTTAGTCTTTTAGGCTGAAACTTGCTAAAAGCTTGCTAAAAAAAAACTGTTGCAATTGGACTTATGCAAGATTTTTAAACTAGAACTATGACACCCTCCCAATAAAAAAATGTGGTGCAGCACTGAAAGTGATACTAAACACACACTGTTAAATATACATTTTCTTTTCTCTTTATGTACATGGATGATGGCACTGTATTTATTTTAATTTTAAAAAAATCAAAAAATCGATATACAGCTGTAATGTGACCCAGGATTTTCCCAGCCCATCTGCAGGGAAACATCAGCAAGAGGAGCTTCTAGTTCTCTGTTGCCAGTCACAACTAAAAAAAACAAAAACAAACAGCCTTCAGAATAAAGAGGAAAATACATAATTAATATCAATACATAATAAAAATATCAAAGAAATGTTTTAAATCCTCATACAAAATAGGTATTTGAACTCAAATCTATTATTTTTGTGCAAAAACATATTAGGGATTATTGGGCTATCTAGGAGGAGGTTCTGCCAATCACAGCCTGTTTTATGCCCCCCCCCCCCCCCCCAGCCTATGTCTATTGCTTGTATGTGCTTAGATTTACAGAGAGGTGACACCTCCATCAATCAACATGTAATATTCTACCTCCCATTGTGTTTAGCTGTTTAGTGGGCATGGAAGAGGAGGGAGGGAGTGGGATGTCATTTGTCTAGAGTGCATATTCCCACATGTGTGACTCTATAGTCATGTGGGCTGTACAGATAAGAAAAATGAGGAAATGAACAGCTTAGAAGGGAACAGAAACTGGAGCATGCTCAGTAGATGTGGCAATGGCTGGTCTACAAAATTTAAGGGACATAGACAAAGAGGAAGGGACAGTGAACAGCAGGATCAACCAGGTTTGTTTTGCAGAATACAGAAAACAAAACAAAGTGAGTATGAACAACATGTAATACTGCATGTATTAATAGTTTTATAATGATGTGGGTTTAATGACACTTTAATTATAAGTGCATCTTCACTTACAGTTTTTTCACAGTTTTTCACAGTTTGGCAAAGTCCACAAACACCTGATAAGCCTGCCAGTGAAATCTAACTCACGCAGCTACCTGTTGTGATGAGGTAATGATGATTCACTGCTCCTGAATTTAGAGCTGATTTGTCACTCTCATGTAGACTGTACCTGCTTGTACTACAGTGGGATTAAAAGGTTTTACATGGGGCATGGCTGTTGCCATTCCGATTCACAGGCCTGTAGATTCTCAAACAGCACCTGGCCACATCCAGTCCTGCCCACTGCTTTCTAGATTGACAGCTCTGTCTCTGTTGCTGAAACTCTCCCACTGTGAGTTGCAGTGTCTGGGATTGAAAGCAGGTGAGACCCAAATGAAGGAGAATTTGGCTCAGTCAGGAAAGTTAAAAGACCTTTTTGGTTTACTTTATGAGGCTTGTACCTGAATTCGGGACTTGTACTTTCTTAAATGTATTCTATTTGGCAGGGTTACTTATGAAAGATGGCAAATGTTTGGCTTTACTTTGAGGATTAATTTGAAGACTTTAAAAAAGGCCCCCTGAAGTTTAGCAGTTGTTTCTCACTAATGGTGTCCAACAGGGCGGACTGACAACTCATGGGGCCCCCGGGCAATAGGGGATGATGGGGCCCCTGTGTCCTTGCCCAAACTCAAAAAAGCCTATGAAAAAGGTACCAGGGGCATCTCATGGGGCCCCCTACTGTCCCCGGGCCCTCGGGCAGTGCCCGAGTTTCCAAATGGTCATTCCGCCCCTGGTGTCCAATAAAATAAAGGTTTCAAAGTATTATTTATGAAAAAAGTGCCTTGCTTCACTTAAATCAACCGATGGTTTATACCACATCTAAATATGCAAATTGTGTGTACTAATAATGTGTAATAATACAAATGGAGCCAATATACCAACTCCACTATATGATACAGCCCACAGTCCCATGCCAGCTTGAATACTTCTTTTTTACTTTTTATACTTCTTATTTACTGTCTGTGTGGAATAATGTGGTGTGCTTAGTGTAAATATTGGAATCTTTTTAAGGTGAATAAACTTTTTAAAAAGGATAAGTACTATGTTTGGAGGTTTCTCCCTATCTATGTATGGCTAAGGAGGATCGATAGGAGAAGGTCGAGAGTGAAATTATAAAGGAGGATTCATCTGATCCGGCTGGGAACACACGTAAGAATCCTATTTAAGGGACACAAGCTCTATATGACCTGACTTAGCGGTTTGGTCATATAAGCCAGGTGAGAGCACAGCTGGTGGAGGGTGTCTGTCACTTTATTAAAAGCATTGTTTGACAGAAAGTGGTGATGAAAGAAGCAAAGATATTTCATTGAAGCTCTTATATTTGAAGAAGTATACAGGTTGGCATGGGACTATCTATGGACTGTATCATATAATGGAGTTGGTATATTGGCTTCATTTGTGTTTTTGTTATTATAGATATAAACAAATTGCATATTTACTAGTGGTATAAAGCATCAGTTGATTAAAGTGAAGCGCGGCACATTTTTGATATATACAGTAATATAGAAATCAACACATTTTATATGAGAGTGTGATTAGTGTGGGCGATTCACTGTGTAATATATTATTTATTTATTCATAGCAGCTCACAAGACTGATTGTATATATATTCTAATGGTTTCAGAGTAACTTTCCTGTACACATTGTAATTATAGAGTGCAAATCACAGTAATTCTAAAGGCTTATTTACACTTGCTTCGACTTTAAAATACATTAAAGCGCATACTTCTTCAACATGCTTTTTGATGCTTCTGTGATGCTTTTTGAAGCTTTAATGAAGCTTGGCAAATGCCATGTGTGTGTTGATTTCCAATTTGTTTTAAAGTGGCTCCAGTAGAACCCCAGCTCGGTAGTACCCTCACTCAGCAGATCCCCAGTTTATTAGGACCCCTGTTCAGCAGATCCCCAGCAAATTGGCACCTTCGTTCAGTAGATCCCCAGCTTATTAGTACCCTTGTTTAGCAGATACTCTGCTCAGTAGTACCTCCAGCTCTGCTGATGCCCCACTCAGCAGATCACCAGCTCATTGTTACCCCTGTTCAGCAGATCCCCAGCTCATTGGTACACTCATTCAGCAAATCCCCAGCTTTATAGTGCCCTCATTTATCAGATCCCCTGCTCAGTAGTACCCCCAGATTTGCTGATGCCCCGTTCAGTAGTACCCCTCAGCGCTGTTGAGCCCCCATGCAGTAGAAACTCCCAGCTCTGCTGATCCCTCACTCAGTAGTAACCCCCAGCTCTGCTGATCCTCTGGTTTGCTGATCCTCTTCTCTTTCTCTGGTCCCTGCTCACTTTCAGCTATAATGCTCCCACACTGCACACCACATGTGACATTGCTAGTTTTTCCTGCTTCGGTCCCCCAGCTCTGCTGATCCTCTCTCTTCAGTCCCCGCTCACCTTCCGCTATAGTGTTCCCACACCACGTGTGCCATCTGCTGGTTGATCCACTCCAGTCCAGACTCTGCTCACTTATCTGCTGCTCCTCACTTCACACCAGATGTCACGTGTGCACCCGACTTCCAGAATATATACACTTCCAGAATATATACCATAAACCATGACTGATGATGTCTTTCTGGTTTGATTGTTGGTTTCCCAGTGCATCTTGGGATATCTCATACTTGCAATACCTCCAAAACAAAGCAAAGCTAAAGCAGACTAAAAGCCTCTCAAAAGCTGCAAATGCTGTTAGCAAGCTTTGTCATAGACTTCAGTGGAGGCTTTGGAGAGACTTTGAAGTTTGCACAATACTTAAAACAATAAAAAAAAAAAAAAAAAAAAAAAAGCAAAAGGAGCTCCAGGTAAGGAGCATAGGGCAAGAGAACAGAAAAAAATATCTCAATGGTAGTGCAGGAATTGAATCCAAATTAGAGAATTAAATTAGGAATTTATATAGGTAACCTGATGTACACTGGTCAAGAAGATTTCTTTACACACCAACGGGCTAATTACAAATACCAATTTAAGATGCCTGGAAAGGAAAAGAAAAAAAAAAGGGGGTGGGGGTGGAGGAGGGAATGAGGTAGGAAGGGAGGGATGGGATAGACTGATGGGCCAGCCCTATAATTCAATCAAGGTAAAGATAGGGCTCACCGACTGGCAGTCCCCCAGAGGACATCCAGATATTCAGAATAGTGGAAAGAGAGTCCCAAGTGCATGTTAGAATCGAGATCTTAACATATCGCTATATTCCGTAGTGCAGGTGAATTGGGACCAGTAAAACCATGTTTTCCAAAAACGTTCCTCCATATGATTAATGGAGGCCATCAGGTTCTTCATGAGGTGGGTCTTGGTAATAAGTTCACAGACTTATGGGTGGCACTGACTTT